TGAAAAAGGCGTTCTCCGTATCACTCTACAACATAAAATACCACCGCCGGCTGCTGCCATTGTACAAGATCCACCGCAACCCGCACAGGTAAGTACTATTTGTTGACGGAAATTTTCTCTAAAAATTATGTGGAATTTCAAAATACGAATGCTATATTTTTTCTATTAAAATTGAAGTAAATTACTATTTTCTTGGAATAATACTACCATATTTTGACATAATTCCGGTACTCAATACGTAGTTCTAATTAAAAGGAAAAACATAATTAAAGGCCTCATATTTTTTAAAATGGGTGAAAAATTCAATATTACCAAAAAAGTGAAATGCAAAATTAAATTCCCAACAATTAATATAATGTCTTTATGGATCAATCAAAATATTACAATTAAACAATTAAGGGGGTGTTTGGAACCGATTCTGATTGGGCTTCTTTTTTAAAGAAGAAGCAGAATCAGAATCAGAAGCTGGTCTCCCCCAGTTTCTAAAAAAACTGATTCTAGGAGTAAATTAGAGCACCAGAATCATTTCTTCATTTCCACCCAAACACTCCAAAATTGTGTTTTAAGGAGCATAAGCAGTTTTAAAAATCAGAACCAAACACTCCCTAAGATATAAATAAATGAGGAAACACTTGTGTGGATGACTAATCCATTGATTCTCCACATGCAGAGCGCTCATACAAGTGACCAAAATGATGAAACTGTTAAAAGAGGAGTTAAGAAGGAGAGTGGCGCCGGCGGCAGCGGCGGCCTTGAAGATGTAGGGACGAAAAGCAAAAGTACCCGTGAAGAAGAAGAAAGCCGCCATACCGGAATTCCAGCGGCGGTGGCAACCATGACGACGACAGAAGTAGCCGGTTATAGTAGTGCAGCAGCAACTTATTATGAAGTGGCAAAAGAGCTGATAAGGACTCACCGACGGGAAATATTGAATGTGGCTGTGGGTTTGGCGATACTTAGCATTAGCATGTATTTCATACCCGGCCGCCGCCGCCATGATTAGATTCATCGATACGGTGGAAGCTTTGGCGAGCCTAGCTATTTAATATCATCTGAGGAATTAAAGCTAGTTATGATTCAACATAACGTACTTTAAAACATACGTATAAATTGTAAGCGAATAAATTTAATTACCAGGCCAGCCAATTCAACTGTATATATACGCAATACGCATGTGAATAATGTGATTCGATCATTTTATTCGATAGAAGAGATGATCCAATATAAATTGCAATTTGTATATTTATTTATGAGCACATTATCAATCTTATAATTGGTTGAAAGGTGTTCCTGCACATGAGAGTAGTGTATTGCTATCTTCCAAAATCGAAACAACCTCTCTCCAAATTAGTAATACTCCCTCATACTCTGTAGTCCACTTTGATCATTAATTAATATATATAAGTAGTATTTAATTATCTATGAGTAAAAAAGTTAAAAAAAATTAGAATTTGAAAATTTACAATGAGACAAACTTAACTATACTCTGTATTTTCAAAACACGTCACTATACTCTGTATTTTCAAAACACGTCACTATCGTAATAATTTAGCAATACAGAGTAATACATTATTAATAAATAAAATGAAGTCAAAGTAAAATACGCGCGTGAAGAGTGTAAACTTCAACATGTTGCACTTATTTAAGAACGGATGGAGCATTACTTTCTGCATGAATTAATATCATTTTTATCATGGTATTAGAGCCATAATTATGAAAACAAAATACATACACTTATATATTTCTCTCCCACAAAATATTCTTTTCCTCTGAGAGCCATGACGGTTGATGATGTGGTCAAGATCGACTAATGACAATACAACTGAGGACATAGTTCTAGTCATAGATGATATGTCACCAAGTTTTATTCACTCTGGAGATAAGCTCTGGGATGTGTACGTCAAGACGACTCTCCGTGATGTAAACTATGGAGATTGGCTCGACGGGATGAGCACGCTCTTTATGCGAATACCAAGCCTGGCGAATACAAAATTTGGCTTCGTGAATAGTGATATCCCAATATGTAAACTCGACGACTCACCTAAATTTCCATTTTGGTAACGAGCGAAATGGAATGAGTAGCATGAGTATTGAACTTAGACAAAGTGTGAAGTTCGAAATGGAATGAGAAATATAGATTGATCTGAAAGAGAGATTCGGGAAGGAGAGTGCTCCACATAGTGGCGTATCCAGGAAATTTGGCGTGTGACAGCAAACTTGACTACAATTTACTCTCATATTTCACAAATAACAAATCACATTATTACTATTGTTTGCTTAAATTTAGTTTATAATATCTATGTAAAAGTGTGAATAAAAAGAAGATTAATTTATATTACGGGTGTGTAAAGATGTAATTGCAGATAAAATGTAATAAACTTACCTAAATATAAGTTAAGCATAACAAAATTTAGTGATTTTTTTTAGCCTTTCATTCTCTTAATATTAAAGAAAACACTTTTAATCTTATTTTATAATTTTTTTCCACATTTAACTCTTATTTTGAGCAATTTCTTGTAAAAATATGGACATATATATAGGGGTTGGGTGGGGGTTGAGTGGGGGCAGCTGCCCCCGCTACCCCATAGTGGATATGCCACTGGCTCCACAAGCCTATGAGCTTTGATGTTCCCTTAATAGATCATACAAAACGAGCAGTTCATTTTTGTCTATACCTACAACCTACTTCATTCAACTACATCACATATGAGATGAAATAATGTCCTCTATCAACGTTAGACTAACCGCACTTGTGGTGGTTATTCACACAATATCTCTAAATAGGTAACCGAATCTCGAGATAGGGGTCGACTTTATGATTTCTTGATGGGTCTTGATGATTTTTGTGGGCACATAGAAACCCAAATCTTTGCCATGAGGTCGGTTCCTACACTCACCACCGTACCGCATACCATCTTATTTCGGAAACTGAACTAATACTGGTCCACTAGTTCCGCCCACAAGCCAACGGTTGATGGCACATGCAACATTTCACACGTACACAATCATTTTCGGCCGCCGCTCATGCTCGAAGGATGGCAGGAGTTGCATGATGCTATTAGTTTTTGATTGTTTATGTTTTTACTTTTAATTAGGTTTTATTGTTTGTTGTTGTAATAATTCCACATTTATGTTGCAACTGTTTATTTTCCTAGTTAGTCGTATTTTGTTTAGATTACGTTATTCTGAGAAAGGATCAACCAAAGGATTAGGAATGGACCTCAAAGGTTACAAAAAGTGCAAGGAAACAAGAGAATATGAGGAATTGCAATTTTGTTCATATACTCCGTCAGGTATATACATGCAATAGCCGCTCGGGTATTGACTTGATTCAGGTGTCAAAATTATAAAATTTAGAGAACAAGTGAACATGTATGGATATTTGATCATAATTTGTCTTATACTCGATCGGATGACCCGACATACCAGATCAAGCTGCAGACGAGGACGAGAGGAGTTCTGGATCTGATACCACTGTCAGGTTTTCACCTCTCCAGCTCAGACCACGCTCAAACAGCTCACACCAAGCACCAACGGGAAGGGACAGTCACACTCAGGCCAGCCCAGCCATCTCAACGCACACCATGGTCAAAGGGAGGAAGCTCTGAGAGATATCACGCACAAAGGAACCGAAGGAGAAGAGACTGGGAGTCTCTCTCTCTAATCTCACTCTCTCTATCTCTAACCAAAGACCTCAAGCCTCAAATGAGCACACAAGAGGGTTTAAGTACGGAGGGTCAAGGGGGAACCCTAAAAGAGGGTTCCAGAACACGGGCTAGGGAAATAATATGGGCTGGGGCTAAATGGACAAATGGATAGGCCCAAAGACAAGAAGGAGAGGGTGCCAAGGCTTTATGGGCCAATACCTCCACATTAACTATCAGTATTGTTGCGTTTTGGTATCTTAATTCTTAAATGAACCAAATTAGTAACATTACTATACATAAAAGTTTAAAATTGAGATTTTATTCTAATTTGTGGCCAAAAAATCTTTCATGACGATCAAAATTCCACGTGTAGAGTCACTCTCTAGATATCATATGGACAAAAATAAGGTGAAGTAAACTCTAGGCACAGAATTCTGGTAGCCATCTGTGATTTTTTGCTAAAAAATTTGAATAATATTTCATTCAAGTTGAAATAATGATGTATAATTAAGATACGATTTAATTCATTTAAGAGTTAAAGTATCAAAATACAACAATATCAATAGTTAAGGTACCATTTATACATTTCATCCAAACTTTTACCTTGTCAAGTCAAACTCTCCATGAAAACAAAATACGTAGTATGATACTGTACAATATTACTCCCTCCGTCCCTTTTAACTTAGTCAACTTTTCTTTTTTGGATATCCCATTAACTTTGTCATTTTCCCTTTTAAGTAAAGAATTTGTGGTTCCAGTTAATTCTCTCTCCTCTACACAAACCTTAATCACACAATTTTTACTTTATTAATCTATGTGCTGGTCAAACTTGACAAAGTTATTAGGGATAGAAGGAGTATGATTTTATTAGTAAATGAGTATTTCGGAAATAATTTCGTATTAGTATTTGCCATTGCACAAATGATTTTTCTAAGAAACATATAAACATCTAAAGTTTCAATAACGTACATGCAATAAAAATGAAAGCATTCAGTCCCAAATTAAATATACACGATTCTTGCTACTATTATTACATTCTAGGCATCATATATATTTTCGTGTGGAAATTAAATGTCTCTATCTTCTTTAGAAAATTCATTACTTAAAGGGCTTGTGTTTTGTAAATTAAAAAAAAATGATTCAGGGAGAACGGAATATGTGACCAAACACAAAACAAATATAGTGAAGAGGAAATTGAATTCGTCATCTAAGAATAAATGCGAGCACAAAATAAAACTAAGGAATGTCTATTTCCCAAGAAAAGCTTAAAGTGCATTGTTTGATAAAGTGGAGAATGTGTGTATGAGTGTTTGAGTGTGTGTGTTTTATTCTTTTGCTTGTGTATAAGAACCCAACCTCGCAAGTGACATTTATTTCATTCTCAATTCAAAAGAAGTTATAATTAACGAAAAACTCTGATCTAGACAAACAGAGAACAGAATTGAAAGATCCAATTAACGTATGAATTCAAACATGCAGAAACTGTTTGATTCAAAGAAGAGCACCTTTGAAGAACATGTAAAACGTTCAACACTATCAATTAAAGATGGTTCTCGCATTATTCGGGTTCCTCTACCACCAGGTACGTACTATATATTCTCTCCATCTCAAAAAATACTTCTCACTTTTTTTTGGGTTGTTTAAAAAAATACTTCTCGTTTTCTTTTTTTGGAAAGTTTGTGTGACACACATTTATTTACCTTTTTCTTACTCAATCACAACCATACATTTTTACTTTATTCTCACTTTCTTAATAAGCGTGTCAAAGTATTTTTTTGGGACAGAGGTGTGTATACGTAGTATTATTTTCTCCTTTCCCTTTACATCCATCAGTTAATTGTTCGATAGGTGCTCGAAACCGTCAGAGATAGGGCGTGATCCTTTTCTCCTTTCATATATTGTCAAAAAAAAAAACAATTCCTTATTTTCCAAAAATATGGTCAAATAATAAAGGTTGTAGTGTTATTTCAGACGAACATAATTAAGGTCCACCACGAAATCTTTTACTACGTATGTTAATTAACTAGATTTAGCAAAAAACATTTAACACTCCTCATCATCACATGCATTTTCTCCTTTGTGTAGTAATTTCAGACGATCATCATGCATTTTTTGCGCATGTCATGGGTTTTTAGCTTTTCCAATATGCATAAATTACCATGTGGAAAAATAACTTTGAATGTTTGGTAAAGAGTCATCGTCCTATTTAATTGGCCATCAAAAAACCTATTTTGAGTTGGTACACTAGAACACGTACGTACACTTCCTAATTGACAACATTTTATTACTACCTCTGGTTTTTTTTAATCTTCACAGTTTGACTTCACACAAAATAAGGAAAGAAATTTGACTTTACTGTAGAGTACACTGTTGAGGCACTGTTTGACACTGTTTGGCACTGTAGAGACACTGTTTGGCACTGTTGAGACACTGTTTGGCACTGTTTGGCACTGTTTTGATGTAGATTTCTTTGCCAAAATAGGAAATAAGGAAGTGTGAAGTTCATTTTACACCGTCCCAAAAAGGAAAGTGTGAAGTTTATTAAAAACCGGAAGGAGTATTACGTAGGGAGTAGTATTTTTTATGCACAACTTCAATCATTAGTGTGTGTGTGTGTGTATATATATATGTATATATATATTATTCCCAATCAGAAAAGAATAAAAAAATCAGATTTTGATCTGGATTGAAAATTTGCAATGAGAAAATTTTAATATTTTTTAAAAACAATATATTAATACATTGATAAATAAAGTGTATTCAAAATAAAGTTAAGTGCAGATGCAAAGTTGTGGCAGCTAATAAGGTAGCACTTCTTCTTCTTTATCTATATGTATATATGCAGGAACCAAGAAGGAAGAGCTAGCTGTAGGAATAACCGTTACTGGGTTGATTAAGATACGATGGAAGCCAAAAGGGGTATTGGAAACCATACAAATGATTGTACCCATTCCTAAATCACAAGATCATGACCCAGACGAAACTAAAGCAAGTTTTGATCCGGTGGGCGTCGCTCTCAATGTCATTCAGCCACCACTCAAGCATAAAATACCACCAGCTACTATTGTACAAGATCCAGTGCAGCAAAACACGGACGCAAATAATAACGAGGCGCCAAAACCCACACAGGTATATAATTAATTATATACGTGATACTATCTTCGATTCTTTAATAGTTGTACCGGTTTGACTTTCACGTTTGTCGACACACAATATTCTCATTATCATTCAGCCACCGCTGAAGCATAGTATACCACCAGCTACCATTGTACAAGATCCAGTGCACCAAAACCCCGACACAAGTAATCGCGATGCGCAAAAAACCACACAGGTATATAATTATATATGTAGCTAGTACTATTCTTCGTTTTTTAATAGTTGTGACAGTTTAACTTTCACGTTTGCCAATGTATAATGCTCTCATTGTCAATTTGTCATTCAGCCACCAGTGAAGAATAATATACGACCAGCTACCATTGTACAAGATCCAGTGTACCAAAATCATGATGTGCCAAAAACCACACAGGTATATAATTATGAGATCTATCCTTCATTCTTTAATAGTTGCGACAATTTAACTTTCGCGTTTGCCAATGCACAACGCTCTTATTGTATTCATGTAGCCACCGGTGAAGCATAATATGCCACCGACTGCCATTGCACAAGATCTAGTGCAACAAAACCCCAAAACAAGTAATCATGAGGCGCCAAAAACCACACAAGTATATAATTATATATGTAGTACTATCCATCATTTTTTAATAGTTGCGATAGTTTAACTTTCACGTTTGCCAATGCACAATATACTCTCATTGTCATTCAGCCACCAGTGAAGCATAATATACCACAAACAACCATTGCACAAGATCTAGTGCAGCAAAACCCCGACACAAGTAATCGTGAGGCGCCAAAAACCACACAGGTATATATAATCATAAACGCAGTACTATCGTATTAATTAGCGGTCCCATGAGATTTTTTGCCAATTTTAGTTCTCTAACTATTTTGTCATTTGCACTTTTGGTACTTGTTTTTTACTCCCTCCGTCTCAGTAACAATGGGACAAGACGGAGTGCCACACAAATCTATAAAAAGTAGTTGTTGTGGTTGATAGTGAATTGATAAAGTAAGAATAAAGTAAGAATAATTTAGAGTCACACAAACTTTACCAAATAAGGTATGAGACAGTCTTAATTAGTGGGATGGACCGAAATGGTAAAATGGGATAATCTTAGCGGGACGGAGGTAGTAATTTTTTCATTCTTGATCTTTCGACAGTTCGACTGTTATTTGGGAGACACTTTTAGTCTTCACTTAAAAATTGGCCACATTTAAACCTGTGAGTATTGTCAAATTAAATTGACGTTTTTAGTCTTTCCACTATTATTATGTCACAATAAGTAGAAGACTAAAAATGTTACTATCGTAATAGTTAAAGGGTCAAAAATGTCATTTCATGGTTGTCGAAAGATTATAAATGGAAAATTTCAAAGAGGAGTACTAATAGTCATAGGATTAAAAATGGAAAAGTTCAAAATTCAATATAGAAAATGTCACTGATATAATAGTTGGAAGACAAAAACTGGCAAAATATGATTACTAGCTACGGAGTATTACCAAGTACTCCATCCATCCAACAAAATTCTTTTCAGTTACCATTTTGGGATGTCTAAAAAATTCTTCATATTTCCCTTTTCAGAAAATTTCGTATGACTAAAATTCGTTTATCTTTTTCTTACTCAACCACAATCATACATTTCACTTTATTCTCACCCGTGCTTTCTTAATAAGTCAAACCATGAAGTATTTTTTGGGAAGGGAGGAAGCATATTTTTCAACCTAAATAGAAGTAAATTGCCATATTCTATTTAGGTGACAACTTCGGTACCCATTTAAAAAATGGGGTACCGTACCTACCATTCACTTGATTGGTCTAAATAGGTATATCATTTTTAATTTAGACTTAAATAATTCAACTACAACTTTCTGATTGGTCCATGTGGACAAATGTATAGTACCTTACGGCTTGTACTATAGAATCTACCTTCTATTTATTTACGCGGGATGACGTAATGATCCATTGATTGATCTCCACAGAGCACTGATACAAGTGATCAAAATGATGAAATTGCTACAAGAAGAGTTGAGGAGGAACGTGATGGCGGCGGCGGCCGCCTTGAAGATGGAAGGACGAAAAGCAAAAGTATGGGTTATAAACAAGATGGAGAAAGCAATACCAGAATGGCGGCGGCGGCAACCATGACAGAAGTAGCCGCCGCCGGTCATAGTGCTGCAGCTGCGGCAGCAGCCTATTTGGAGGGTGCAAAAAAGCTGATATGGACTCATCGACGGGAAATGTTGAATGTGGCTGTGGGTTTGGCGATACTAGGCATTAGCATTTATGTTATTACCGGCCGCCGCCATGATTAGATCCATCCAACATTTGAGAAATTAAACCTGTTTAATTTAATGTATCTCGGAAGAAGATTAACAATAGGGTTCAATTGATACATAAATTGTAAAAAAATAAATTTACCGTCTGCGGGCATATGTGTAAATATAGTGCCTGTATACACGCATGTGATTGATTTTATAGGTACACACGTAAGTCTATAATGAAATAAAGAAAATATGAATTGCAACTTGTTTATATGTTTATGAACGTATGATACATATCCCCTCAAAAGATCACATTTACAATTGAATAAAAAATGTGAATAATATTTAAAGAAAATATGAATTGCAACTTGTTTATAAATAATTAAATCCCCCACCCCACCCCCACCCCAATTTTAATAACTCCGTATAAAATTATACATATTTTATAATTTTGTTTTAGATAAATATTGACCGGATTTATTAATCATTGACTGAGTTGACACCGCCTGATCCGTGTTGATAGCATAGAATAAACCTTGTCATTGAGAGGGGTGGAACCGTGGAATGAGGATATGTTGATATCCAAATGTCATTTCTTTTTCTTTTTATTCAAAAGTGCGATTTTCCCTTTTTTAAAACATTTTTATATATACTCCGTATTATTTATAGGCTTAATTGGTTGTTTGTTTAGTATTAAGATGCCTAAGCTAAAAGGTAGATTCTATGGTACCCAAAAGGTATCATACCTTTGTCCACATGTATCAATCAGAATGTTGCAGCTGTGCAGCTGAATTATTTAAGCCTAAATTAAAAATGATATACCTATTTGGACCAATCAAGTGAAGAGAACAAGTCGAAGAGCATCCTCTATTCTATATGATGTATGTGTCTAATACATCATACGATTGATCTACGTTCAATATCACATGCAATAAAGGGAATGATATACTGACATAATGGACACCTCCACTATGGCAAGTCATTGGCTCCTAGACAATGGCGGATCTAGCCTTTACATTTTGAGTGTTCGAATTTAAATTAAAATTAAAATTATCTCAATAATTGTATGTATAGAATACTATAAATTAAAATTTAAATTATCTCAATAAGAAAATCACCTCAACAACCGATTTTTCTTGGTGATGATTTTTTTTTTGAATTTTGACAAATCACAAATTTAATACAAATTTGATTCTAGATAATTCTTCACTGCCCCCATATATTAATTACTCCGTATAACATATTCCATTACTTTGTATCATTTACAACTATGGGTAAAGAACTCAGGAGGTATCCATACTCAATAGACAATACCCATTATCCCCTATATCATTATTATCATATTTCTTTCAAAAAGTCAAAATTCAAAATACACATACAATTTACGATGAGAGAAACCAAATTCAGAAATACATAAGGAACCAACAACCGGTAGAAAAGTCAGAAAAGATTGAAGCCTGGAGATCTGGCCGTCTGAAGCACTGGACCTCGCTTGTGTGAATTGAGAATCTGACCGTCAGCAGGGTAGATGTAGATGACCGCTTAGCAGACCTGAGGAGTCGCCGGCTCGCAGAGGTTGGAGGAGAAACTGGAGCCTGGAGGTCTTGACTCTGGTCTTGGAGGATGAGAAGGACAATCGATCGTTTGGGATTTTAGGAATTCCAGCGCGGACTGCGGTAGAATTTCTGGAAAATATTGTGCACTTGTAACCACCCCAAATATCACAATGAACTAAATCAAAATTTTGTTGCGTTTTAAATTTTTAATACAGCTATTAGGAAAAGGAACAGGTTTGCTTTGCCCAAATACAAGAATCACAAAGTGAGATGGGGCGTTTGTAATTCTCCATAAAATGAATATGACGGAGTCTCTCATCTGATGCATGCCCGAGTCGTTGATGTCATACTTCAGGACGTGGAGTGACTACAATTGCCGCCCGTTCGTTACTTTTATTCTCCAAATAGTACAATCCATCTCGACACCTACCCACCCCAATCAGCTTCCTCGAGGGTAAGTCCTGCATCACACAAAAATCCTCAAAAATGTGGTCGTGCAATTATTTTCTCTGGCAAGTCGGCTAGCGGATAATAAATCACAATGGAAAGTTGGTATAAAAAGACCTCCTGGGAGTGTTAACCCATTGGGTAGTTTAATACTGCCAATAGAATGGACGGGCACAACTTCAACATTAGGGATTCGCACTGGAGACTCAGACAGATTTTGCATAAGATTATCCAAGATTGTATTATCACAAGTGATGTGTTCCGATGCTCCTGAATCGATGATCCATGAAGTATGCGAATTTGCATTACCTTCCATTTCACTTGTGCATCCGGCAGCCTTTTGATTTCACCCCCTGTAAATTAAGTTCGGTGCGCATGAATTGGCCCAGACAATTTAATTGATCAACTGAAAGTCCAGATGTTGGGTCATTCTGACAGTCAATATACGCAGCTCTGGGTGGACCGCCTCTTTTCTGTGAACTTCCGCGATCGTTTCCACGTGTAGGTCGGTTTCCGATACGTGGATTCCCACACTACTACGAAGATAGGATATTACGTCGGGCATTTTAAGGCGGTTTTGAAATAACTGACGTCTTAGTACATTGGATCGTGTTTCACGTCATTTATCTGCAAGAACTGACGTTATACATATTATCTCCTAAAATCCGTTTTACTTCTTACGATGGTTTTTTATTTTAACCGACATTGCAAATAGTCCAAATAAATATCGATGGAATACTCCGTATTACGGAGTAATTAATTAATAATTAATTAATTTTTCCACATTTAAAACCGGGGTTTTTACGAGAATATTACTAAAATAAAACTTATTTACATAAATATGACTATTCATTACTACAACGTAGTGCTGTTGTAACTAAAGTTCAAAACTTGAACATGAATTACTATGATTTCATTACTACTCTAGTAATGAATCATATTTTTGTAAACCATCTTTATTTTGGTCATATTTATGTAATTATTTCTTTAAAACCCTAACCCATACTTACACCCGGCCACAGGCGCCAAAGCAATCAACGATAAATGAACGGCGCGGCGCCAGAGTAATCGGCGATATATGAATGGCGCCAGAGCAATCAACGATACATGAACTTTTTCTAGCCTAAACAAATTCTCCTGGCTGATTGCTTTCACGCAATCAGCTCGGCCTCTACCTCATGGCAGCATGTTCGATTTCTCTCCTTTTGTCCATGTTTATGCCTGCTAATTTAGGGTCGAGTTTGTGTAAGCAATCGTCGATTTGGAATTTTATTGAACCGGGTCTTGCTTGATTGTATAGTCTAGGTTAGTTTTTTATTATTATTAACAACGAATCGCTTTGTTTGGTTCTGAAGTTTTTTCCTGGTTCGAAAGGAATCTGATCGATGAATAGTGGTATCTTCAAGATGCGTGATGATAAAAGCAAGTCCGTTGCTTGTCTCTCGATTTGTGTGTTACAAGCCTTAAATATTACAGAATTGATTTTGTTATCCTACAGGTACTTTTTTTAGAGAAAAACTTTCCTTTAGCTTACTTTTCCCATCTTGTGATTAGTAAAACATTGTTTGTGATAATTTGATGTTATTGCGATATTTTTTAGATGGTATCGAATCCCTTCATGAGGCTCCCTTGATAAGGTGAGTTTTAAAGGCTATTATTCCTGCATCATCATTTCATAATGTGTTCTTTTTTTAATGATTTATTTATTTATATGCTTAATCAGGTCCGTTTGTATATCAAGAAAATCTGTTATTCTTTTCTCAATTATATAACTATTCTAAATATGTTTGAAGGTGTACCAAGCCAGATTTTGATCTAGCAGGTAAGTAGTTATTATCTGAGTGGTTAGGGCCGGTAGGAGTTCAATTTGCAATCTCCTTTTCGGGACACATCAGAACGGTATATTCAATCTCCAATATATTGCTTTAAAAGTTTCTAGCAGGCTATGTAAGATAATTTGAAAAGTTTAGTTTTGTTCTTTATTTAATTTTTTACTTTCATGGTGGCTTAAATAGTGACATGCTGAAACAAAAAGCTCTTAAATATATTCCTTGGAGAAACTCAAGTGTGTACTTTACAATCAAATAAGGTAGAGCAGTCCTTTTAGCAAACCACTAAAACAATAAGGTAACACAAGTCTTCTGCTTGTGGATTTGCAGGACCAATAACAGATAGTGTAGCTGTTAGTTATCTGCAACCACATCCAAAGCCATGGGTTTTTATGTTTTCCTTCTTCGCAATTCCAGCCTGCTCCCAAGGTTTAAAAACACATCGCTGGTACGCTTTCACGCTTTTGAATTACCCTCTCAGATTTGATTTAGTTTTTGTAATATAGGTAAAATGTCTTTACTAGATGTAGCATGAAAATGTATAGTATAAATGATTAACCTTTGTAAAGGAAAACCATTTGGAAAGATCTCTTTCAGCAAAATAACTTAATCAAAACCTACTTATTCTTCTTATGAGCATAGATAAGATAGAACCAGCTGCCAATCAAATCATAATACCTAGTATTTAGTTAACTCCACAACTTCAGTGAAGGTATATCATAACAAATGCTAAAATAGAAACATATACCAACATTTTACAAAATGGGACTAAGAGAGGACATTGTAATTATTGTTATCATCATTACTACTACTACTACTATTAATATTGCTTTTCTGATTTCCAATGGGCAAAGGTGAAAGAGAGAAAAATAAAAAAACAGAGCAACGACTAAAACTGAATGCTATTGTGCTACAAAACTACAAAACTATGTGTTATACTTATACAGTTGGTGTGTTATGAACTGCTAATGCTCATGCTCTCGTTTTTTTATAATTAAAGTCTACATGCTTTATTATAATCATTGCCCAGTTTTGCATTCCCAGCAAAAATATTGTTTAGCAATGCTAAGACCTAAAACTAACCTTGTAATTCCACTAACTAGAAGCCTTTATGTTCTAACTAGACTAGATGTCGTAAAACTGATTTGTAATCTTTCTGAGTTTTAACACCAGATACCTTAATAAAATAGAAGCCTCAGTATAATAATCTTGTGATTGACTTTGGTCTTTAATATGCTTGTTAGAGTCTAGGACTTGGACAGTTCTGTTATTTTAAATACATCTGTTTATTTGAGTCTTTTCAATGCTAAAGTAATTTCAGAGGATATTTTTGAATTATATGTGGTATGATTCAAACATTTAAGCTTTTGTGTTACAACATCTAATCGAACTCCACTTTTATTTCTTTTTTATAGGTGATGTAGTGCAGCTACATGATAATGGTTGGAACTGGTTAATCGGGACACTGAAAGTCTGTTTTTTAGCATTAAGCAGTTCAAGAGAGAAGCAGCCTTTTTGATGCAGCAGGCGAATTAGTTATACGATTGTATAATTTGGTTGCCCTTAGTTTACTATGATTTGATTTCCCATAGTTTTTTGAGGGATATCTTTTTTATGTTTGTTTAGTAAATACTCCGTAACAGATATTCTAATAACAGAAATTCTATCATTTTTATATCTATGCCGTGGGTTATGTCTGATGTTTTTTTTTTTGTTTTTAAAAGGTACATATAACGTCGGTTTGGTTTAAAAAACTGACGTTATATGTATTTTTTTGTCTTTAATTAAAGGTTTTTACGTCGGTTTACAAGAAAAGCGACGTGGTAGGTCTTAGTTATTATAAAAAAATCGAGTACTTATTACGTCAGTTTTACAAAATAACCGACGTGATAACTTACCTATTACGTCGGTTTAATAACCGACGTAATATGTTAATACCTATTACGTCACCACATTCCACGTCACTTTGAAAACCGACGTGAAAGGGTATAAATAACCGTCGTGGAAACCCTCTTTTGTAGTAGTGCCAGTGGCCTGGCTCCCTTCATTTTTGACATCTCTGCCACGTGTGTTCTAGTTCGCCGGGTATCCTACAATTTCAAAACACTCCTCCCTCGTAGATAGGGTCTATATCATAATCATTTATTCAAGGCTAAAATCAATTCAATAAGCCTATAACAATAAATTTATGTAAATCCATGCATTTATATTAATTCATGGAGAAATAATATTAAACCGTATCGGTTACCCCATGGACAACCGGTCAACGTTCCGTTGACCGTCATATACATTATTATTCATATCAAACTTAATCCTCATGTGAATTGAGTTAATAACATTCATTTAATGCCTTCTTTATCATTCAAGCATAACATATATTTTCATAGAAATTCTCATATAATGTTTCATGCATATTCGAATAACTCTTTTCATATAAGTCTAACCGTTTTGGCTAATCACATGTTTAAATATCTTTTAAACATCATTATGAATATATGTAACATTTATTTAGGTAATCTCATAATTAACCCAAAAGTTATAAGGCATTAAGCCGTCCACTCAATTCGAATTAGCGCTATGAAGTTTTACCCTTCTCGGTTGAACTCCGACGAAACTCCGGCGACTTTTGACGAACTCCGGCGACTCTTTCAACTTCGTGAAAGCTCTTAAAATACCTTTTACAAGTTCCTATCAAGGTTTTATAATCATAAAACCCATATTAATACAAATAACCTCCAAAAGGTTATTTTCCGGCGAACCGGTCGTTTTGGCCTCTAAGTCCGTTCTTGGATTTAGAACCATCTTCCAACCCATTATTCTACACTTATAACATGTAGGACAATCCTAAGGGTCCTTCATATGATATATATTTCATATGATAATCAAAAGAATAGAGGAAAAGTTCTTACAAGGTCATTACCTTAATTATCCAAGCTTTTCCTCACTTTTTCTTGTTTAAATCTTCTTCTTGGACCTCTTGAGTTTGAGCTCGGTTCTTGGATATGGAGGATGTGTTTTTGCAGGGCTTCTCCTCTTAAAATGAGTAGCTTGGCCGAAAATGAAGGGGAGGGGGTTGTACATAGTCCTTTTTGTCTCAATAGACCAATGAGTGTGGGTGGGAGGCCCACCTCATGTCCTTTTGATCCTCTTTCAATCAACCCCAACATCTCCCATCTTCCTTCTCTTATTTCAGCCACCCAAGCCCTTGTTAATGTGACTAAAGTCGTGGGTTGGCCCCCACACATGTGGGAGGTCACCCCTTTACGTCCCGAAGTGTGCAATCGGCCCCGAAAGTTGTATTTTTTGGACTGTTTTAATTATATGTTATTTTATCGGGTCAAATAAAGTATATCACTTACTCTCAATCATAATGGCCTTTAGAATAAATATATATTCCACAACTTTAATTTAGAAGTCTTCGAAATTTGTTTCGGGCTGTTATCTAATTAATTGTCGGTACTGGTAATTAGGTCGCGTTTGACCAATCGGTCAACCCTTTGCCCTTTCCATGGCCCGAATAAAATATCCACCACTATATAAATATTATCTAGTCCAAGATAAATAAAATATGTGGTCTCGGGAATATCGGGTGGCCCACGCTCCCGGTGTGGGTCCCACGTGCGATTCACTATTCACGTGTAAGAAATTAAAAATTTACAACTTCGTAAATTCATTAACCATTTAATCAGATTCTTTACATTATCTACTTAAAAGTAAATACATTTGGGGACAGTGTTACAAATTCTATAAACAACCACTTATTTACTAAATACAACCACAATATTTTACGATTCCTAATATACCCTATATGATAAATTTACTAAGTATAGCCACGCTCCGTCCAAAAGACACCGCCTTTTGGTGCTGCGCAAGGGAGCTAAGGTTATCCCGATGTGAACCATGTACATGAACTGCAATCAAAGTTGTAGAGCTTGTAGCCTTGAAGGAAACGTGACTCTCTAACCTTCAAATTAGAGTTTCAAAGCTTCATTATCATATGGCTTCTATGGCTAATTCTCAATCTTTCGGTACAAATCTTCTTCACAAATCATAATATCCTTTCACTCATGTTGAGAAGGTATCAATGTAATCATACCGGAATTAGATTCATCAATAGTTCTGAGTTTCAAATCCATACACTAGCCACTTGATTACAAGAGAATTCTTCCTCCTTTACCTAGCCGATTGACATCCTCTGCTCTGGGGAGAAACAACAACGAAGTGGAGTCCTATTCCCCTGTGTTAGAAATCTGCGCCAAAATTCTTCTTCGATCCATTGCGTCCTAGCCGCAGATTACTGGCTTCGTCCCCTGACAGAGAGTGTTTTCCCAGAGCTTGTTTCCTCTTCGGCGCCATTGACAGGTCGATGGTTGTATGTATATATTGTGGTGATGTGCGTTGCACTGGTTCTTTTTCAGCAGGAAGTATTGGTGTGCAGGTTTCTGATCATTCATCACGGTTAAGTGGTTAATTAAGGGTCGCTTGGGTATTATAATTATTTAGTGGCTGTGAATAGAAATTTGGAGGCTGTAAATAGAATTATCATTCATTCTTTAAACTATAAAAACTCCAAATCTGAACAAAAAGTGCAAATAGCCCATTTAGTAGGTTTCAATCAATAAGTGATTTTCCATTAGTAAAACTAAAATCAAAATCATTTTATCTCGTGCACGTTACGAGTAAAGATACTAGTAAATAAATAAACATGAGGGAAGGATTTGTAATGGTAATATGATGATTTTGAGTCAAGCCCTGATTCAAAAGAAACCCTATGATGTAAAAAAAAGGACGAGTAAGCCACTCGCCCGAATGACCGGGTCATGAGTCAACCCAGACCCGCCAGGTTAACCCGTTCAACGTTGCATCCCAAAACCCGATCAACCTAGAAAATAATATTATTATAAAATATGCTATTTTAACAAAATATACGATGTATTTAAAACTAGTCTTCTAAAACATACAGTTTTTGATATGATATACTCCGTATATAAATGTACATAAAATATGAATATAATGCTTATTAAAAAATTAAAGTATTATATAAGTACTTAACATATCGTTTGCAACCCAACTTGGTTTGAAAATGCTTAAAAAAAGCAATTCTCAGCTTTTGGCTTAAAAACACTTATTTTATCAAAAACTATCAACTTTATTTTTCTCGGCTTTCGTGTCAAAAGTGCTTTTACATTTTCTATTACACAAAAAGCACTGATTTTACTAAACACTACCAACTTTTACTTTACAAAATCGATTTTTCCTCAAACATTATCAACTTTTATTTAATCACTTCTCCCCATTTCATTAATAAAAGCACTTTTTTTAAAGTAGAAATTGTTGCAAACAGACCCTCATAGGCTCATAATACAATCAGGAGGAAAGTTAAACAAATCTCTAATTACCGAGTAATGAATATGAGGCAATAAGTAGTTAAAAAATGGAAAAGAGGTTGCACAAAGTCGCCCAAGGCGTGGATATTTTCCCCTGAAACCGGGCTTTGGCCAATTTCCTACCTTTGGGCCGCCCCGGTTGTGGTTTGGGTTAGCACCGTTCTTCAGGTAATCCCGTTTCCTGATAGATTAGTGGGTTACCTTCTAATCTAACGGGTTTGGTGCTCCTGGGTCGCCTCTTCGGGTAATCCCGATTTGTGATAGATTAGTGGTTTGCCTTCTAATCGGACCAGTTTGGCGGGGTCGCCGGGTTTCCGATTGACCTGCCCGGTCCGGTGCTATTCTTAAAAGTGTTAAAACACAGAAGCAATCATTGACAAACAATGCTTTTTATACCTTTTAAGCGAGTATTGATGATTTTGCTTCACATTGTTCTACAAGAAACGATCCAAATATATAATTTAAATACAGTAAAGTGATTGTGGCCTTTATTTTATGATTTTTATTAGATATTTTAGTTATAATTCATATTTCAAATATGTATAGTTTACTATTGATCTTGTGTATACGCTCAATATAGTACATCTCGGCATCTCGCCCATAGTCTCATGAGCATTGCATAATAGAATTCATATTTTTATCCGTTATGCATGGTTGATTATTACGGAGTATTACTTCTTACATGAATCAAGTCTTAACACTTTCCCATATGGTTTTGTTCTAAAACAACCTATAAACAATTGAATCAATAACGTGCAATAGAAGTAAATTAAAAAAAAATCAGTCCAAAATACATAATCCCTGCGAATATCATTATATTTCTCATATATTAATATTTAAGATGCTTTTCTCGAGAACATTGACATACTACCCTAAGGTTTATGTATTTTTTCATGATTTCATAATCTCACCAAACCATGTGGTTGGGTCGATGTAGAAACTTAGTTCTAATCCCTCTTCTAACAAGGAAAACTAGAATATAATGAGATTAAGGAATGTCTCTATACCAAGAAAAGCAAAATGCATTTTTCAATTGGAGAATGTGTGCATGTCTTCGTCTTTGTTTCACTCTATATATAAACCCATAGTTGGTAATGTTAAGTTATCTAGCTCTTTGAAGAAGTTTGCTTGCATAAAAAAAGTTCCAATTAAAGAAAATGTCAAAACAAATAAAAAAAGGAGAAAAGGATTTGAAGAGTGTTCTGGAGGATTGTGTGGCAAACTATAAAATTCTATCGAATGAAGATCATTACATTCTTCAGATTCCTTTGCCACCTGGTAATATATCTGAATATCCCTCTTCATATGGAATTTATATTGTGATCTTCTTCATGTTAAATTTATATTATGAAGCAATATAGATTTTTCTGCAACATAAAACACTATTTGTATTTGTGCATCTGCAACTCTTGTTCGAGTTCTACGTTATATTTTTCTGCTTGTGCGATTTATATGATAAGACTAACAAAACTCATCGTGTTTCATAAGTTATACGTAGTACGAAGTATAAAAATATACTATGTATCGTACATTCGTACTTACATTCTTTTCACATATTTTCATACGTAGTTGTCATTTTTATCAAAATTATTTACACAACGCATATAACTTTTGTGTTAGTAAAAAAAATATGCATTCACACACAAAAATATCATACCTACATAATTTTCACATCTTATTTACATTATTATATTTTGTATTCTTGTATAGAAATCTTTACACCAACAAGATAAGTTTTGTACAATTACACTTACACAGACACATATTTGGTACACGTCGCGTATTTAATTTACATTTTGTATAAGGCCGATTACAACAAACGTTTAACTTTTAATTTGTATCAATAAATAATATTAAATTTACAAGTTACTCACATATTTTAAAACACTACATATTTACACCAAATCATTTTGACAAAGAATTTATGGTTAACTCACATTTATTACATATTTTAACACATATTTTAAAACACTACATATTTACACCAAATTATTTTGACAAAGAATTTACAAGTTACTCACATTTATTACATATTTTAACACATGTTAGTTCCTGTGCAAAATTCAATTTAGAAGATAATTTTGAGATGAAGGGTATAAATATTTTAGGGAAAGTTTCCGAAATAGGACTAAAACTGTTTGAAAATTCCAAAATAGGACTGTTGACGTGCACTTTGTCGTGAGTGCACTCAAAATAAATTCAATACTAACACTTATACGTAGTATAGCGTAGTAGAGTTCGTATCCACAGGGAAAGGAATAATTCTCTTTTTATAGAATTACTAGTAAATAAAAGGGGGTTTAGGATTGAATGATTTAATTTAATTAAACAGAAAGATGAACAACTTAATTGTGATTTAATTAAAAGATAAAAAGAACTTGGCATTGCTACTTTCCACTTGTTGACATATTTTAGTCGATCATTGTTATATCTATAATAACTTATCCCCTCTCAAATACTCAATCGAGGAGTATATCCAATTCATCGAGAGTAGTTATTAACAACGACCGTTCATTAATAACCCTTACTATTAGTCAAGTATAGAACACCGCCATATACCGAGTTAATAGTAGCATTTAATCTCTTAACTCCTTGATGAAATCAATTGAGATTGATAACCTCAACACAACGGTTTCGGTTTAACCAACAAAATTAATCCCTCTTAAGTTTACTAACCACGACCGTGCATTAATAAACCGAAGTTACTTACTTGTGAAACCATCAACGATTAACCATCGGTTCGTTGATCATTTCTAGTAGTAATTAATGTCGAGATGTTAACTAATTGTCATCTTAGCAACATTCCCCAACATTAATATAGAGATAGATTAAGGGAAGAATTAATATTCAAGGAAGAAGATTAAATATGAATAATCCTACTATAACTAATGTCAAGATGTTATCTAATTGTCATCTTAGCAACACTCCCCAACATTAATATATAGAGGAAGAAAATAAATACTACTATAACTAATGTCGAGATGTTAACTAATTGTCATCTTAGCAACACTCCCCAACATTAATATATAGATAGATTAGGAGAATAATTAATATTCAAGGGAAGAAGTTAAGAAAATAACTCACAACTTTAATAATCAACAAGCTTCAAGAGCAACACCAAGAAATGGAAGTTTAGCTCCTTATTTGGAGACTAAACATACTATAAAAATATAAAAGAAATACTATTCTAAACTGAGCTTAAGAGTATGGAAGAAGGGATGATGAAAAGTGAAGGAAAATGGGGCTATTTATAGGTGTTTTCAACACCCTGGGGCATTTACCCGACCGGGTCAAGTGCCCACCCGACCGGGTAAATGTCAAAATCAAATATTTCCCACGTTCTGGCGATCTTCGGCATGTTCTGGTGTTCCGGGTCACATCTGACCCGCCCGGGTCAAATAAGTGACCTGCCCGGGTCTAGTGACTTTCTCAGCAGTTTCTGATTCTTTGTCATGCCCGACCGGGTGAAGTATTGTACCCGGTCGGGTTTTTGCTTCTGGGCAGCCAAATCTTATTTTTCTTCACTTCAAAGTCCTCCTTTTCAACACCTTAATTCCTAACTCTACTTTACAACTTACAAATGAAGATTAAAAATACAATTACAACTAAAATCACACAAATGTTTACAAACTAAATAAAACGGTAAACAAACCACACAAATCAAACATAAAAACATACACTTATGCACTACTAATTAGTGCATATCAAACACCCCCACACTTGAACCTTTACTCGTCTCGAGTAAACCAAATCATGTCCAAGAAGTTCTTAAATGACAAGAGTATCAACTCAAACATCTAAGTGTGTATTTAGAACAATACAAAAGTATCCCCAAAAATATAAGAGTAAAGAGGGATCTTCAACTCCATATTTTCTATCAACCTCAATTCTTTTTTTTCCGTTACCCTTAGGATCCTGCAAAAAGAAAATACTTTCTCTCATTCTCTCATTTTGCCTAGGTGCCCTTTCGGGTTTTCATCCTAGCTTCCCAATTTTTTCTTTTGTTTTTTTTAATCCTCACAACTCACTCTTATTTTTGCTTTATTTTTGCTTAAGTTGCCTTTTCAGGTTTTCAACTTAACAAGCTCTTTTTTTTTTTCTTTATTAATTTTTTTTTGAACAAGAATGAAATGTGAGTATTCCATGAAACTCTCCCCCCAAGCTAATCAAAGCACTGTCCCTAGTGCTTGTGTCCGAGATGTCCAAAAGAATGAATCTCTTTGCTCTTTTTGGTGTCTGTCCATTTTTTTTGGGGGGGGGGGGGGGGGGGTAGATGGGAATTTCGGATTTTTGTGAATGGGTGGCTTTGGGTTGGTTTTGTGGATATAGAAGTGTAGAGGGTGAAGAGGAGTAAAAAATATGAAGAGGAGGAAAAAAAATATATGGTGTTAATTGATGGATTTGGTTGAGTGAGGGGTGAGTTTTTTTTTTTTTTTTTGGTGTTTAACGGTAGAAGAATTGGAGAGGGTTTTTGATTTGGGGAAGAAGAAGGATGAAGACGATTGAGCCCGTCTGGTTTTGAGGTCAAAATTCGACGACCCGGTCGGGTGGTGTATGTGACCCGGTCGGGTGTAAAGGTTCTCCGGAGGCAGTGAGTTTTTTTTGTCAGTTGACCCGGTCGGGTGGTCTGTTGCACCCGGTCGGGTTCTTTACTCCAGGGGCCGGGTTTTGTAAAAACTTACTCGCCCGGCCGAGTTTGATGTTCCAGGGGCCATTTAACAAATACACCCGGCCGGGTGAAATGAGGGACCCGGTCGGGTGTACTGCCCATTTTTTTTTTTTGAAAAGGTTTTCCCACACACACACAAAAAAATGTAAATAAACACAATAGAAACTTGGGTTTCCTCCCAAGAAGCGCCTTATTTAATGTCGTGGCACGACGTTTATTTTTATTTTTATTTTTTGCTTTATGTGGGATCGTGAATATCCCTTGTTTCATTCTTCCTCTTTGGCCTTTTCCAGTAAAGCCGTGATTTCTTCTTGGTTATCTCCTCTACCCTATGCTCAATTTTTTCTTCCTCTTCAAAAAGTGAGGTTTTCTCAGCTTCTTTTTCAACAAAAATAGGTGATGTTTGTGGTTCAAAAACATTTAGAGAACAAAGGGATTGTTTTTTTATTTGTTTTTTTTGTAGAATCAAAGATGTTGAATTCTACTTTTTGGTCATCAAACTCTAAAGTTAATGAACCATTAGACACATCTATTTTTGTTTGGGCCGTTTTTAAGAAAGGTCTTCCCAAAAGGATGAGTGTAGCTTGGTTATCGGCTTCCATTTCAAGAATATAGAAGTCGACAGGGAAGACCAAATTTTCAACTTTTATTAGCACGTCCTCTACGACGCCCTTTGGGTATATGCTAGACCTATCCGCCAATTGGATTATCACCCCGGTTTCATGCATAGGGCCAAGTTTTAGGGACTTGTATAATGAATATGGAATAACATTGATTGAAGCCCCTAAATCTAACAAGGCCCTAGGAAATAAAGTGTCCCCTATTTTGCATGGGATAGTGAACATGCCTGGATCGTTGCATTTTTCCGGGAGTTTCCTCTGGAAAATTGCCGAGACACGTTCACTAACCTTGACCTCTTGTTTCCCTTTCAATTTATTCTTTCTTTTTATCGTGCATAGTTCTTTTAAAAACTTTGCATAACGGGGAACACTTTTGATTAGTTTAAAGAGTGGGATATTTACCTCACAATTGGCGAAGGTCTCGTAGATGTCCCGATCATTCTCCAACTTCCTTGTGTCCTTCAGCGCCTCAGGGAATGGAGGGAGTGGCTCATATGATGAAAGTGGAGGAAATTTTGTCTTCGTTGGTTCCCCCTCGTTGTGGTCAAACTCGTCATTGTTAACTTTTTCTTCAGCCTCCTTTGTTTGCAACTCCTTACCGCTCCTCGTCATGATCGCATTGACATGTTGTCTCGGGTTTTGCTCCGTTTGAGAAGGGAGTTTTCCCGATTCTTTGGCCTTTAGCCTACTCACAGCAATCGAAATTTGGCTAACTTGAGTTTCCAAATTTTGAATGCTTGACTTTGTTTCTTGTTGAAATTGCAAAACATTTTGTTGCAAAGTGCCCATGTTCGTAGCAAGAGCTCGAATCATGTCCTCCGTGGACATGTTAGAGTTGGAGCTTTGACCTTGATGATTTGGGAAGGATTGTTGAAAGGACTGATTTTGTTGTGGTTGAGGGTTCCCATATCTTAAATTAGGGTGATCTCTCCACCCGGGGTTGTAAGTATTAGAGTGTGGATCGTACCTCTTTTGTTGTTGGGTTTGGAAACCCAAGGCGTTGACTTGTTCTTCTTGGAGAGTTGGGCAAGAATCTGTTGGATGCCCTTGCTGTGTGCATATGCCGCAGACCTTGACCTCTTGGTTTCTAGGATTTAAAAGGAAATCCTTAACCAAAGAAGTCAAGCCGGCCATTTGACTTTCTAAAGATGAAGATGATTCCACCGCGGCAACTTTACGGGTTGAGGACCGCCCGTTGTAATGCCTAGAGTTCTCGGCCAACTCTGAGATCAAGCTTGTTGCTTGTGAGGGAGTTTTGTTGACAATGCCGCCCCCACAAGCGGCATTCACCATTCTTCTATCATCATCAACAAGACCATCATAAAAGTAGAGTATGAGGTCTTGCTCGGTGTAGCCATGATAAGGGCAGCTAGCACATAACTTTTTGAACTGTTCCCAATATTCATATAAGGTCTCATCATCTTTTTGATCAATGTTGCTTATTTGTTTTTTCAAAGATGATGAGATGGAGGCGGGGTAGTACCTTTCTAGGAAGCATTTCTTCATTGCCGCCCATGTATCTATGCTTCCCGAGGGAAGATAGAATAGCCAATCCTTAGCCGTGCCCTTCAGTGAGAATGGAAAGGCCCTCAGCTTGATTTGTTCTTCCGTAACATTATTTGGTTTCATACTAGTGCAAACTATATGAAACTCCGCAAGATGTTTGTTTGCATCCTCGCCCCTTAGGCCATGAAATGAAGGGAGTAGATGAATAAGGCCCGATTTGAGCTCAAATGTAGCACCTTCATCAAGAGTGGGGAAGGTGATACATAGAGGTTGTTGATTTAAGTTAGGAGCCGTGAGCTCCCTCAATGTTCTTGTTTCAAGAGCCATAGTTGTTGGCTCTTCGGGCTCGCTAGAATGAGAACTAGCACTTGATGATTCTCCCGAGTCGGTACTTGAGAATTTATTTTTCAATCGCTCGAGAGTTTGCTCTATTTCTGGGTTTGATTGGTAGGTGATCTCGTTTAGAGAACGATATTTAACCATACACTATAAAGCTCAGAAGAAATAGAAATCTTTATATGTAAATAATATTTTTTTTTTGTTTTTTCTTGAAATAAAATAAAAAGAAAAATTAATTGCCTCTCCCCGGCAACGGCGCCAAATTTTGACGTGCACTTTGTCGTGAGTGCACTCAAAATAAATTCAATACTAACACTTATACGTAGTATAGCGTAGTAGAGTTCGTATCCACAGGGAAAGGAATAATTCTCTTTTTATAGAACTAGTAAATAAAAGGGGGTTTAGGATTGAATGATTTAATTTAATTAAACAGAAAGATGAACAACTTAAATGTGATTTAATTAAAAGATAAAAAGGACTTGGCATTGCTACTTTCCACTTGTTGACATATTTTAGTCGATCATTGTTATATCTATAACTTATCCCCTCTCAAATACTCAATCGAGGAGTATATCCAATTCACCGAGAGTAGTTATTAACAACGACCGTTCATTAATAACCCTTACTATTAGTCAAGTATAGAACACCGCCATATACCGAGTTAATAGTAGCATTTAATCTCTTAACTCCTTGATGAAATCAATTGAGATTGATAACCTCAACACAACGGTTTTGGTTTAACCAACAAAATTAATCCCTCTTAAGTTTACTAACCACGACCGTGCATTAATAAACCGAAGTTACTTACTTGTGAAACCATCAACGATTAACCATCGGTTCGTTGATCGTTTCTAGTAGTAATTAATGTCGAGATGTTAACTAATTGTCATCTTAGCAACACTCCCCAACATTAATATAGAGATAGATTAAGGGAAGAATTAATATTCAAGGAAGAAGATTAAATATGAATAATCCTACTATAACTAATGTCAAGATGTTATCTAATTGTCATCTTAGCAACACTCCCCAACATTAATATATAGAGGAAGAAAATAAATACTACTATAACTAATGTCGAGATGTTAACTAATTGTCATCTTAGCAACACTCCCCAACATTAATATATAGATAGATTAGGAGAATAATTAATATTCAAGGGAAGAAGTTAAGAAAATAACTCACAACTTTAATAATCAACAAGCTTCAAGAGCAACACCAAGAAATGGAAGTTTAGCTCCTTATTTGGAGACTAAACATACTATAAAAATATAAAAGAAATACTATTCTAAACTGAGCTTAAGAGTATGGAAGAAGGGATGATGAAAAGTGAAGGAAAATGGGGCTATTTATAGGTGTTTTCAACACCCTGGGGCATTTACCCGACCGGGTCAAGTGCCCACCCGACCGGGTAAATGTCAAAATCAAATATTTCCCACGTTCTGGCGATCTTCGACATGTTCTGGTGTTCCGGGTCACATCTGACCCGCCCGGGTCAAATAAGTGACCTGCCCGGGTCTAGTGACTTTCTCAGCAGTTTCTGATTCTTTGTCATGCCCGACCGGGTGAAGTATTGTACCCGGTCGGGTTTTTGCTTCTGGGCAGCCAAATCTTATTTTTCTTCACTTCAAAGTCCTCCTTTTCAACACCTTAATTCCTAACTCTACTTTACAACTTACAAATGAAGATTAAAAATACAATTACAACTAAAATCACACAAATGTTTACAAACTAAATAAAACGGTAAACAAACCACACAAATCAAACATAAAAACATACACTTATGCACTACTAATTAGTGCATATCAACTGTCAAGCATGTTTTTATTCCCAAAATAGAAGTAATTACTGCCTAGTTTGGAAAATACTGCCATGTTTGAAGTCTAGTACTGCCAAAACATGACAATAATTAGACCTATTTTAGGAATAAAAACATGGCAGTCCTATTTTTTAATGAAAAAATTTCCTAAATAGGAGTAAAAACGTTTTGAAATTCCAGAATAGGAGTATCATGTTTTTTATTTCCTGAATAGGAGTAAATTTGTGCCAAGTTTAGCTTTACAAGGCTTTTAAACATGACATTTTTTCCCAAACTTGGTAGATTACTAATATTCAAGGAATAAAAAACATGATACTCCTATTTTGGAATTTCAAAACGTTTTTACTCCTATTTAGGGCAATTTCTATTTTTAAATTTTCAAACTTTTTAGTCCTATTTCGGGTAATATTCTCAATTTTTTACCACTGATGTATCTATCCTAAAGTCCCTCAACTTTGACCTCCTAATACTACGTATAAATTTACTCTGTCTACACGGTAATTATTAATTAATTAATGCCCCAATAATTATAACTCTACCTTTTATATCCGGAACTGGAAACAGTGAAGGATAAAGACCAATATTATAGGCACGATTTAATCAACTTTTAAAAGCCGGATGCTTATTGTATACACAGGAATCGAGTTGAAAGAGATAATAGTTCAAATAAACAAAAAAGGGATGGCAAGGATCCTTTGGAAACTGAAAGCATCAGGGAAAAGCATTACCACAAAAAAAATGTTACCCTTTCTTCCACAGGGAGATTGCGACCGTGAGGGGATTCAAGGAAAGGCTGAAAAGAACCATCTTTATGTCACTCGACCAAAACTGAAGCCCTCTGCCACTCCAGATATGGTACTTTTATGTGTGAATACTTCGAAAATTTTAACTTGCGTTTTATTCTCATTTGGGACCAGATATGGTACTTTTATGTGTGAATACTTCTAAAATTTTAACTTGCGTTTTATTCTCATTTGGGACCAGATATGGTACTTTTATGTGTGAATACTTCTAAAATTTTAACTTGCGTTTTATTCTCATTTGGGACCAGATATGGTACTAGTTGAATGATCATCTAAAGTGAGTTGAGGGAAAAGATAAAAATTGGAACTTGGAAATAATGGTGGAAGACTAATAGATTTTCAATAGACTTAAATTGTGCTTCTATATATACTTAAAACTAGTATTATACTTATTCAATCATTTTCTTGAAACCCCAAAAAGCTTGTGCCCATAAGCATTATTCCTGTTAAATCGGATGAAACGAAGTAAATTTGAAAATATTCAGAGGTTTTGAGGTTAATAATCCTTGCGTTATTACTCCTCTATCCCAACTCCCAACTTCTTGTATCATATTTTATTTTAAGTTATTCCAAAGGGTTAGTCTTGTATCAGAATTTAAACACATTTTGAGCCTAATAGGCTTTCTTATTTCGACAAAGCTAATAGCAGTAACACAATTTCATCTTTTCTTAAAATTTGTGCCAAACTAAGCCTTCCAAACAAAATGGGTCATAATGGGTAGAGGTAATATTTTTGACATGGTTGATCATCTTTGTACCAAAAGGTAGAATCACTCAGACACAATGCGCCCAACAGAGAAGGTGGGGTGGTTGATCATCCTCAACAGACCACTGGTAGAAGTAATACCATAAGTGTGGCAGCAACCAAGACAGAAGAAGGTTTTGGTGCAGCACTAGCAGCAGCTTATTATGATGATCTTGCCACAAAGCTTTGGACTAACCACAGGGAAATATTGAATGTAGTTTTCGGTTTGGCCATAATTGGTATTAGCATGTATGTTATAACCGGGAAACATATCTGAAGAAGATTCAACAATATATTTACAGATAAATTGTAAAATAAATAAATTTACCAGCTACATTCTGCAATGTGATTCAATTTATATGTCTAGAGTGGAATAAAGAGTATGAGTTAAAAAATTGTTTATGGGAACGCTGATTTCGGCTGAACTTATACCGCTTTCGATTAGGTTTCGAACTAGCGGGTTCCTAGTCCCCTTACCCATAGATGTGATAGAACATGAATAGTGACCTATTCTGGTCCAGTTATCAAGAGTTTGCTCCATTTTTTATTCATCCTGTGTTGAGATTGATTTTCTTAGCCTAAAATCCAACACAATACTCTCTCTTAATTATTATGTTGCCAAGCTCTTCATATCTTCCCACAATATCTTCCCAAATCTATGCATTTCATCATTTCATGTGATTCCCACCATTCCTGAGTTTCCCATCAAATCAGGGAGTAACCCCAGATCCTAAGAAAGTTTGTTGCCGCTCGAGACAACTAGAACTCGCATGGATCATGGGCTCACCTTTTGTCTCATTCCGTTGTGGGCCTGTGACCCAGTATGTGCCCCAGGCGAAGCAAGACCTTGGTGGATTTGGGCCTATTTTATGGGGGTATCAGACCAATATCCAACACTAAGTAGTCCTGGACTCGGGCCGGGTGGCCCGACCCGGAACCGGCCCGGGACCGGTACTGTGCTGAACCGGTCCGGGTAGGCCCGGCTCGGGGGGTTCCCGGTGCGGGATCAGGTCACCCAAAAGCCGAACCGGCCCGGTTCCGGGCTTTTTAATTTTTTTTTTCTCCATTTTTTTTAACTTTTCAGGTTGGGATGGGTATATTGGGCCATTTGGGGTGGTTTGGGGGGTTGGGGGTGGGGGTAGGGGTTATTAGGAAAAGGAGAAAAAAAATGACCTGAGGCCCGGCCCGGACCCGGTGGCTACCCGGGCCCACCTATTCAGAACCGGTGGCCGGCCCGGGTCTAGGCCTGGCCCGGACCTGACCCGGCCCGAGTCCAGGACTAGCACCAAGTATTTATTTATTATAACTTATAACCTTATATGATAGTATACTTGTGACATTAATAATATTATAGTATTATAATAGGACTAGGATTTAACTTGCAAGCAGGGATGGATTTAAGGGGGGTGCGGGGGGCGACCGCCCCCCTTGGACTTTCAAAAATTTCTACTACCTCCGTCCCGTTGGAATGCACCCGTTCGGTTTACGATGCTTGACTGACGATAAAGCAACTCGATCCCTGTTCACACTCCGCTTATTTTTAGTAAATAAAATTTACATATTCAGAAACTACATTAAAACCGCTACAAAGCCTAATCAAGAAAAGTTCAATTTGATAAAAATTTGATATATAAAGTAAAAGATTAGGAGTGACCTAAGTTGACCAATGAATAGTGAACGGGAACATTTCAATGGGACGGAGGGAGTATTATATATGTAATATTTTCATAAAATTTTCAAACTTTAGCTAGATATATATGCGTTCGCCCCCCTTAACTTCTTTTTTAGAATTAATATATAGTCTTACATAATGTAATACTTAATTTTAGATTTAAAAGAAGAAACATCTAAAACAATTTACATAACTCAAACAAATAGAAACATATTTAAAACATAGGATACTTATTATAAAAAAAATCCTAATTTTTTAATGTTTAATTATCTTTGTTAGGTTCTTTCAAAAAAAATTATCTTTGTTAGATGATTAGTGCTCAGTTTTGAAAAATATCAAATGAAATTAAAGACCAGGCACACTAGTTAAACAATTTTAGATCATGTGAAATGAATCCAAAATATAAATGTTTGTTGACATTAAATTACACAATTCATTTACTTCTTACACTTCATAAAAACAATTTATTACATAAATAATAAACTTTAACTTATTTTAGCAATAATACAAATACAATATGCACCATATATATGGATTAGTATCATAACATTTTTCAAAAAATAGTAATCTCATACATATACTATTGCAATTCAAAAATCAAATCTTTATTGCGATAATATTCATGTGGTTAAACAAGACACAAGTTATTTAAAAATATTATGTAGTAATAGATATGTACCTTTTAAATTTTTCTTCAAATAGTTTGATAATTGAAATGTTATATATCTTTTTTTTTCAAATAATTTTCCTTTGATTTATCATTTATTACGCTTTAATGTATTAATACTTTTTCTAGATAATTTCAATTATAAAATCAAAGTTATTTTTCTATTATCTAAATCTAAAATGTAATAGATCTAGTTATTGTCGTGTATGTGTATCAAAGGAACTTTATTTGAATAAAAAATAAACGCAGAGTCCTATACTAGCGAAACAATTTCGCCTCGCTGCATTAGCACAAAAAAATTAAAAGTCGCTCCGCTACACTAGCGAAAAAATCCGCACGCGCGCTACACTAGCAGAAAAGTTTTCACCCCGTGCACAAACGAAAAATTTCGCCCCCCTTAACTCGAAATCCTGAATCCGTCCCTGCTTGCAAGTACGGACCAGTAAATTATCAGTTCTGGTGGAACAGGGTCACCCTAGCACACATACATCATAAGAGACCTGGTGTTTGAAACTACCAACAATTTTAGTTTTGAGATATTTCTAATACTATTTTTTTCCAGGGAGCATGTAGCGAAGTAGTAGTATAAAATATTAATAAGTTGCAGATAATCAATGCTAACTGTAAGTGAAATGATTAGCAAAATATATGTCACACATAGTTACTGTAAATGTGATCCATGATTCCAAAATGTTATCCTCTATCTTGAGGATCCATGGTGTGGGCCGCCAAATGTCGGCCTCATGTAAGCATGACATTCATGTTATTTCCATGTTTATATTTGTATTTTTGATTAGTTTTAAGTGATTGTTACTCTAGAAATTACACACTTTTGGTGTAATAGTTTAGTTTGTTAAATGTTTGTAAATTGTTTAGATTAGGTTTGTTCTGAGCTCAAACAGGTCCAAGACCACTCTAGGAACCATTGGTGAACATCACAAGTGGAAGGAAGGTGCAAAAATTCCAAAACAAAATGAAGATCCTGATTTTTGGTGTTGTACCCGGTCGAGTATACCCTATACTCGATCGGGTAAGTTGCTTAAAAATCAAATCGGATAAATCCGCGAACAAGTCAACATGCAGAGAAGATTTTAACCACGATCGAGTGTCTATACCCGATCAGGTAGCCGACATACCCGATCGGGTATGCCCATGTTTTTCCAGCTTCCACGAAGCAACTGAAGGCCCGATCGAGTACCCAATATACCCGATCGGGTACATGACCCTGCAAGCCCAAAAAGCCTATAAATACACCTCAATTCTTTCACAATAAAGCACCAATTCATATATACTTCTAAGCTCAGTTTAGACAAGTTCTTTCTTTATATTTTTATCATGTTTAGTCTCCAAATGAGGAGCTAAACTCTTCCATCTTGGTTTTGCTACTTTGAAGCTTAATGATTTGTAAGTTGTGAGTTATTTTCTTTAATCTTCTTCTTTGAATATTAATTACTTCCTATTCATATCCCATATTAATATATTGAGCATTACTTAAAGTATCAACTAGTCTTGTTCTATATATTAATTATTACTAGAATCAATCGGTTAATACGCTTGTTATTAATTCGGTTCTTTCAATGGTAGTAAACTTGGGTTGCTAATGCATGCTTCTCATGGTTAATAATCCAAGGGGAATTAATTATATTGATTAAACCAATAAACCGCTTGTGTTGAGGTTATCAATCTCAATCGTTTTCATCTTAAGTTTATTGCTACTATCAAGTTAATATATGGCGCTTGTTCTATATTGACTCGATAGTAAGTTTTGTTAATGAACGCTTCTCGTTATTGATAACTTGTGACACTTCGAAAATTTTAAAGTAAAATGAAATAAATAATTTTAAATGGATAAAATGTTACGAATGTAAATAATAGAAAATTTACATTTTTATAATTAAGCTGACCAGATTAGATTTTGGCTTAAGCAACAGCTTTATACGAATGATATTTATACACTTGACATAAATAAGGAGATTGAGATTTTAACTATTTGAAGTTGATAGGTAATTGATAATACACTAATATTACACAAAAAAAAAATATAATAAAAAGGTTAAAAAGTTGACTTTTTCTAATCTAATATACTCGGAAACTCTATAAGTCCATATTACACACATGCTTATTAATTCTAATACTAGTAACAATTAATAGCAAACTAAGTGACGTGTTGCTATAGTAATAATATTAATAAACCTACTAAAATAAACATACGTACGTAGTATACGTCTACCCCTAACTACGAAGTATTATTCAAACTCGGACTCCGCTAATAACCTTTAATTTGAGATAATCACGAACTTCCGAAACTTGAGCTTCTAAGCCAATCAGATAAGTTTTAAACGACCCAGAACCTTCGACCTTCTCCTATAAATAGCGCTCTTCGTTGATAATCTGCACACAAACTAAGAAGCTAGGCTTCCATACGTAAGAATCTGCGAGAGAAAAGAGAAGAAAAAAAAAACGTGAGTACGAAAGAGTGACGGAAGGAGAAGAAAAGACGACCGTGAAGTGCCGGAGTTCGCCGGAGAAGGGCGAACATTTCGGATCTCTGCCGAGCCAACCTGCTGCTGACCACCGCCCGACGCTGCGTCACCAAAGCACCGTCGTCAATAGAGGTAACCCGCGCACCTGCGTTTTCTTAAGGCGGTGAAATTATTTCCTTAGCTTGCGGATTATAATTAATCTGATCTAATACGGCCGGACTGGTTAAAACATAAAATGGAGTAGGAACTAGTAATAATAACGTTAAAGTTTTGGACTGATTCACTAATAAAATAAGAGATTGGATTCTTTATTCTGATATATAAGAATTGTACGAAAACAACCAAATAGTAATACGTAACATGTAATGATAAGAGTAATAATGTTAATGATGATAATAAAAACGAGGTTATCACTTATCACTATTGAAATAGTCATAATAGCATTTACACGTTGATTCTAATAAGACTGTAGCTATTAATTTGTTAAAAGTAATAAACTGATTGGTGATTATAACTCGACTATTTAAATTAAA